GAGAAGTATATAATAAAATTATGATATTTTTTTTTTAAAAAATTAGATATATTGCTAAATTAGAACTTATAGTTTTAAGGAAACATCAAACATAGTTATTAACTTTTTAAAAAATTTTATTAAATCATAAATATATCATTAATTTTTTTTTGAACAGGGTCTAAAATTTATTTGAGACGATCCTGACTTTACCATGACCATCTCTGTTGGTTTTGCTCATTTGTAGTATTAATGAATCTTCTAATTTAGGCTTCCTGGATCAGTGTATGTTCTTGAAGGCATCTGAAATGACACTACAGAATCTGAATAAAATCCACAATCACATATATATAATATATACATGAAGCCTATGACATAACCAAATAATGTAATAGTAAATCCCTAGAGTGAGCTTTTTACTTTATGAGCAATCTCCATTCCTCAAGCTTCGGTATAGATCCAAGTAACCAGATGATTCTGGTCTGATAAACCTGCAATGATAAAATTGAACAGTGTTGTGAATATACTATGCAAGGTCCTAATGTCTCTGATGCTTACACTATCTATCAACGGTCTTCCTGGTCCGTTATACAACTGCTCTGGCTAAAGGTAATTGTTGATTCCTACAAACTACTTATGTGTTTGACAAGAATACTGTATGATCTGTAATAACCACCAATGATGTTAAAAACAGATACATTCAGATAGAAATCAAACTGTATAAGACTGATTCAAGATTCTCGCTTAGTGACATGCATTAAGACGCGTGTACATGTAGACTGTAGTCAAATAGAAATCAAAGTTAATGAACATGCATATGTTTAAAAAGTTGAGAACCTTTCTTTCATTGAACAAAAAAAATGATTTTTCTTATTCCCTTGCTAAAACTATACATAAATATTTTGTTTTTGACACGGAGCAAAATTTCAAATTAGCATAAGACACAATGTCTTAGACTGATCCATCTTCTATGTTCGTTCTTTTGGTTAGAGTTAATTAATAAAAATTTCAGCCTCATAATTTGTTTTTACTTTTACCACTATCAGCTAAACCATTCAAACAAAAGGACGATTAACTTTTACCACAAAGGGACCACCAGATACAACACTAACCAACAGCATATGCTCGAGCCTTTGATCGAAACATCAAAGTGTATGACTAATAGGTTTTTATTTGATCGAAACTTTTATTAGAGTTCAAATGTCAGAAAGAGAAAAAAAGCAAAACAAATAAAAAAGAAAAAACAAGGCTTTTACAGCTCGTCCTTGGCGGCCGATTCTTCAGTCTCCTTATGTTCTCCACTCTTAATAGTAGTTGAAGACTTTTCAGAAGCTGGCTTGTTCTTCTCAATGAAGCTTATGAAGTCTTCCTTTGTCCTGCTTCCATCGTACAATACAACCTTTCCATCAGCAGATCTGAAGTAAATTGTTGGGAAGCCTTTCACATCAAATGTATCGCTTGGGATATCATTCGCGGTTGCATCCTGTACACACACACACACGGACATTTGTGTTTAAAACCGACATCATCCAGTAAGAACGACATGAAGAACACAAAAAAAAAAAGAGGCTTACTAGTTTTGCTATGATCACACTTGGGTCGTTCTGGAACTCCAAAGCCACTTCGTCCAAGATTGGGGCAAGTTTTTTGCAATGTCCACACCATGGTGCATAGAATTCAATCAACACTGGCAGATAATATTTGATGTTTTGTAAGAAAAATTCCAAAGGAAAATTGTATGAAGAATTTTTAAAAGTGCTCACCATTCTTTCCAGACTTGAAAACGATGTCGTCAAGGCTCTCAGCTACAACAACCTTCACTGGTTCGTTGTTCTCAGCTGGGATAGGCTCAGATTTTACGTGGGCAGCAACTTTCCCGTCCTGAAGGAAACATGTGCGTCTTAGGTTAGGGGTTATATTGATAAAAATTCACGAGGATGTGTGTAGAGAGAATGAAACCTTGAAGTCCTTCATCCATGATTCAATCTGGTCAACCACAACGTTTGCATTCAAATACTTCTTGCTGTCAGGAGTCTGGATGATGATGAGAGGAAGTTGGCTCTCTTCCAGTCCAAAGTACTGTTAAACAGATACATGATATGAAAAATTAAGCTTAGTGATGTGTGTAAACTGCATCAGAAGGAAATGATTAAGGAGACGAACTAAAAAACTAGTAACCTGCAAAGCGCCTTGGCTGTTCTCGGCATCACCAACAAGGAAAGCAAGATCTTGTCCTTTGTAGGATGTAGCAACTTCACGGAACTTTGATTTTAGAGATTCAGCTGTTTCTCCAGTGAAGTTAACGAACATCATTACCTGAATTTCAAAACATTAATACCCATCAAAACCAGAAAATATCATACAAAACTGTAATCATTTAAAATCATGTTTAAAGCAGAACAAACAGATCCTTCAAGAAATTCGTTATAACAAACTCGTTGACACTATAATAGAGAGTTATGATTGATCTATAACCCAAATTCATCGAATATGCTATATAATCAGAGCTTTTTCCATAGGTAACCATGAACAAATTGTCCATCTATGATAATGGCAGGGCTGTCAACGAAATGACTATTACTAAAACAGTTCTAAAATAAATTTTACCTTAGTGGCAGGGTTCTCAAAGAATTTGGAAACATATGGGTGGTTGGTTGGATCTTTATCAAAGACAGTAACAAGAGGAATGCTTGATCCTTTGACAAACTTCTCCAGAGCTTCGCCATTGAAATCCTGAATTCATTTTTGATAAAGCAAATTTAGCAATCTGCAACATAATTGCGTATAACAAGGCTACTCATTGATGCTAAAAGTACAAAATTACAAGTTTCTTCTGTACCTTGGAATCAACAAACAATTCATCGAAAGGCTTGAATAGCCTCACGACAGGTCCTGCCACAGATGAATCTCCACGAGGAAGAAGCTTGGCATCCACAGTGTGTGCGAAGTTATAGTCAGCTCGCAATTTCTCAGCAAGGGCAATGAAAGAATCAAACTCCTCGCCAGATAACTTAGGGAACACACCAACCTAAGACAAAACAAAATAGATAATCATTGATTGCAATTACTCGATAAAATAAGGAACAACATGAGAGGCACTGCACTTACGGCAACCACATCCTTTTCACCAATAACCTCAGCAGCACCATCAGCTGACTTAATCTCAGCAGAAGCAGGTCCACTCTGCTTCTTCACGTAAGTTACAATACCCGCAGATTCACGAGGTCCGTTGTAATCTTGAACTGACTTTCCACCATTCCTCAGAATCTTGATAGTTGGGAAACCTTGAATCTTGTACTCGTTCGCAATCCCTTTGTTAGACTCCTCACTAGCATCAATCTTGGCGAGGAAGATGGGAGGGCTATGACTGCTCAACTCTGCTGCAGCCTTCTCGTACTGTAACCACATAACACCAACGTTAGTCATCATAAGCGCTTGAATCTAGCGATATAAACTTTTTATTCTTCTAAATATTTAAACGAATGTAATACCTCAGGAGCAAGGCTCTTGCAGTGACCACACCTGAAACAATATTAAAACGAAGATTCGTAAGTTATTCTCCTAAAACAAATTTGAATTCTAAGATCCAGTCACTTAAATCTCTACTCGATTCATCAAAACAACAAGCTAATGGAAGTGAATCGTTCTTAATGTCATATGAAACTGAATCAAACATCATCCTCTCAAGTTATCATCCAATAACAAATTTGAATTCTAAGATCGAAACACTTAAATCTCTACTCGATTCATCACAACAACATACTAATGAAACTCGAATCGTTCGTAATTTCATATGGAAACTGAATCAAACATCATTCTCTCAAGTTATCATCCAATCACAAATCGAAATCACTTAAATCTCTACTCGATTCATCAAAACAACAAGCTAACGTAATCCGATCAGCTCGATACACGATCTACGTCAACAGAGACTAAACAAACGGAGAGAATCAGATTTTACCAAGGGGCGTAGAACTCGACGACGATGAAATCGTGCTTGCTGATAGTATCGGTGAAATTAGAGTGATCGAGAGTCAAGACGAACTCCTTCGTCTCCGTCTCCTCGCTTCTAACAGACGAAGCGAACAGAGATAACACTAAGATCGATAACATCGCGAAGCCGTTAGACGCCATTATCGCTCTCTCTCTCTCTCTCTGTACTATCGTTTGTACGAATATTCGTTATGGTGAAGCTATGAACGAGGAGAGATATTTATATTAGTTTTTTTTTTACACTTATAGAGAAGTGAAATTACACGAAGACGCTGAGCTCTCAATGGTCAATAATACACGTGTCTTGTTTTGATTGGATACACCTCGTCATTGTTTGTTTTTTAACTGTCATTGTAGTGATTTTTGACTACAAGGAAGGTCATTAAGATTTTTTCAGTATTTACTTTCCATAACCATCAGTCAGAAAATCATAACGGGGACTAGACAAATTTGTCTACATCAAGGAAAACCATTTCTAATTGATTTGATCTTCTTTTAAAAATCCTCTACTTGTCCGTTTTGTTCGGAGCAAGTCAACATAATAACAAATTGCGTTTTAAAAATGAATGATTATATCTGTTAAATGGAGGTTTGACTTTTATAAATTCGATAACACTCTCACAGATCATGCCTTAGCATGTTCTCTCCATTTCTCAATATGTTGCCATATTGCTGCACAATGGCAACATTGCATTGTATCTCTCTACTTAAAAATATGTTACTCTTAAACTAAAGTTTTAAGTGTTGTCATTGTAATGTGTTTAAAGGCAAAGAGGTTATCTAGTTTGTATAGATTATTCATTTGTGTTGGTTTTTGGAGAAGTTGTAGATTCTTCCATTACTAATTGAAAGTTGGTTTTAAAACTAAGGTTAGTGGCAACTAATACCCCTAACTTTATATGCGGTAGGTAACCTCAATACTCAATAACAGACTTAGTAATGTAGCTGTGGCCTAAGCCTGTAAATGATCAAGATTTTGTAGTTACTATTAGGCTAATATAAGTTGAAGTTGTGAGAAAAAGACAGAACTAACACTGTGTAATGAATGGAAATAACATGTAGAACACAAACTACAATATACGAGATCAATACTTCTCAAATCTTGTTTTTTTTTTTACTTGAATGTGGAATCTATATGAACCTATATCTAATTTTCAAGTAACAAAACTTCAAAAGATTTCAAAATGTGGCTCACTCTCCCTATTCAAGAAGAAGTCTGAGGATGTTGAAGTCTAACAATACCATGAGCTTTAACAACCTCTACGTTGAATTTTCTCAACGCATCAAAAACAGGACCCAATCCAACTTTCAAGGTACTACTCGAAGAAGACACGAGCTTCACAGTGTTTTCTTTACGTTTACCTCTCTCCTCCACCTTCTTCCTCATGGAATCCAAATCCACTTTCAAATCATCCAACACCGACACTCCACTCTCTGACCTCCCTTTCGAAACCACACTCCTCTTATCAAACTCCACATGATCTCTACCCTCAAGTTCTGCTGCTCTGACTCTCTGTTCTTCTTCCTCTTGCTTCTCCCATAGCTCGTGTAAGCTTGAAGCGAAACTCTGCATTGCATTGCTCACTTTCTCTCCAGATACTCTCCCCATTGCTTCTTGCCAGTCTTTGCATATGGTAAAGATCGGTGGTGCACCGATTTGTCTAGGTGAGAAAGGAGCGTATCCATCCTCTGTTGCTTCAGGTTCGTAGTGAAGACATTTCGAGAGCCATTGGTTTAGAGAGTGGACGTATTTTTTCTGTGTTTTGACCCATTCGTTGAAGCTGATGCACCAGTCTCTAAGCTCCATCTCAAGATCAAGAAAGGCTTTGGAACTAGAGATGGTATTAGTCTTTACAGATTGAACCTTGGTTTCCATGATGGCTTGGAACTGTTTCTGGTGGCACTTTAGCATTGATCTCCACATTCTCACCAACCTTTAAAGAACAAACATCAGTTTTGTTTTGTTTTTGTTTCTTGCAGCTTACTCTCTGTGTATAGGTATGTGTGGTGAGATGACTTACCCATGAATTAGCTCTGTGAGTTGTGGCTGCAACTCTTCATCTCTAAGTTTATGGATTCTTCTTGAAATAGAATCAACAGATCTTATAGAGATATCTATTTTCATCAGAAGCTTCCTGATGTATGCTCGAGTTGCCTCAATTTTTGTAGCTTCTGCTCCATGAGTGTCCATTTTCTTCAGTGATTTACACTTCTCTTCATAGATGGAACGAAGCTTCTCTTCTCCCTGAAACCAGATCACAATGTCACGAGATGCAAGAATCTAAAAGAGAAATATGAAAGATCAAGAACCTTGACTTCTTTGTAGAGTTTCTTTTCCCATGCATAGAGCTTCCCCAAAGTTGATGAGAGGTTTCCATCACCATCTTGTCCATTATATGCTTTCGCCATTTCTAATGTCCTAGCTGTTAGTTTTATTGATAGTTGTGGCTTAGAGCGTGTGGACGGTGCTACAAGATACATGATTCTTGATAAGATAACTGAAAACATAAAACATTTGGTCATAGTCCAGTAGATCCAGCACCCTCTAGCAGACAGGAGAAAAAAAATTATGCAAGAATCAGTCTATCACCATGACAAAACATTCCTAAGCTTTAAAAAGCATTTGTGCAATGTGATTTTTAAATAATAATTCCATGCATTGTTTTAAAAATCGGTTTAGACGTTCAAACATCGGTCTAGACTCCCGCCTAATTAATAAACTGCCTAACAACCGTCTAGTGATTTTTTGAACATTGATTCCATGTTAGTTTCAAAATGAAGCATCCTCTCATTGAGGAATACTATCAGAATCTCAGAAAATGATTCTGATAAGAAAATGTTACCTTTAAAGCCACTCTTGTCTTTATGCTGATAAGGCAACTTACTGACTTCAAGAAGCAAAGCAACCTCCTTCCCACAAGAAGAAGCAATCTCAAACTCACTCTTAATCTCCTCCACAACTCCTCTAAGATCCCTAGTTGCATGAACCGACAAACTCGAGAAACTACTCATCTTAGAAGACTCAACATCAAAAGAAGAAGAAGTACTCGCTTCCTCCAACTCAAAGCTAACAACACCTTTCTTGTTCCCATACACTTCTGTCTCCATGATCGTCTCTTGTCCACTTGAACTGTTACTACTCTTAACATAATGAAACTCAGACTCAACATCACTACTCCCTGAAAACGTGGACACAGTCTCTGAATCTAATGAGCTCTCAGGCAAAGGCACTGTTTCTTTGTGTTCTTTCACTTTCTCCAAAACTGGTCGTCTATACACTTTCTTGATCACTTCGTGTTCTGATACTTCTTCAAGCTCAGGGATGCCTTCTCTCTCTCTAACTTCCTTCGAGTCAGGGCTGCTTGAGATAGACGCCATACCTTGAGGATAGTAGCTTGGAGCACGAGAACGTGCGTTGCTGTAGTCATACGTGTCGAAAACGTTTAAAAAGTCCCACGTGGAGACTCTAGGCGGTGAAGGAAGAGCAGGAGGTGGTGGTGGTGGCTTTGCTGGAGAAGGAGGAGGATAACCGGAATAATTAGAATTATGGAGATAACCGGAACCGGTTGATCCAGGATTAATGAAATAACCGGGATCCGACGGCTCTACTCGATGATTCTCCGGTTTGAAAACGAACGGTTGAGATGGTGTTGAAGATTTCTTCATGAAATACATTCCTTGATTCGTGTTTTGATTCTCGTTATTGAATCCCCATCCTCCAACCGGATACGGGTATGGATAACCGGGTGGAGGATAGCCATAACCGGGAGAGAATGTTTGTTTTTTTGACCGGTTTAGCTCTGGTTCAGGAGTGGTATCAATATGGATATGATCATCATCATTATCGGATCCATCTTCTAAACCGGATTCAGATCCGGAAGAGAGATCCAAATGCGAACCGTTTTCTTCTTCGATAACCGAATGTGAAATTGAGGTTGAAGAGATTGAACCTTTGTGTTTCTTCGGTTTACTTTCGTCGGAAGGAAGCGTGAGAACCGGAGAAGAAGAAGAAGAAGAAACGTTCTCTTCGTCAACGAAACGTTGGATAGCTTCACCGACGTCACGGAGAGACTGGAGGTAAACGAGGTGAGCGACAGCGAGAGCAGAGCGGTGATGCGACGCCGTTTTGATCAGTTCTTTACGTTCTCTGCAGAGAATCACAAGCTGCTGATCATCTAGTTTAGAACCTCCGCAACCCATGGAAACAACAACTTTCTCAAGAACTCATGTTTCAAGTCTCATTCTTTTTTCAGACACGAAGCTAACATGTCTTCGAAAGTTGTCGGAACAGAGAAAGTTTTTTGTTTTTTTTTGTTTTTGTTTTGAATGAAAGAACAGAGCAAGTTTTTAATAGTTGTTGTCGTGTTGTAAAAAAATTAGAGGAGAAAGGTGATGCATGAGTAACAGCGAAACAAAACAGAAGAATCCATGGCTGCTGCTGATGACGACGACTTATACGAAACGTGAATACACGAAGGAGAGACTGACAACAAGGGGAAAAAAAAAACAAAAGGAAAAGTCGTCGTCTTGCAATTAATTATTGTAACTTTACTGGATTTAATGGATAGAGAGATGTGCGATGAAAGCTGGGCGATAATATTAATTGCAGAATTTAATTGGGGAAGAAGAAAGTGGGAGCAACGAGGAATGGTTAAAAAGGACAAAAAACTGTTTTTTTTTTTCCTTTTTTAATTTATTTCTTCTCTGGAATTCTAGTTCACCGGGAGAGAGTGACAATCAAAGTAGAAGACGACGTGTAAGTATTTTCTTCTCCTTATTTTATGTTCCTTTATAACGCTTTTTTAATGTAAAAGTTAGGATTTTGATATTTATTTCTATCTTTGTGTAGACAACGTGATACTGTAGTATACAGTTTGTACGTATACATCCAAAAGCGGTAGATAAAAAGCTCTACTGTTTTATTACACACAGACAAAATAGATTTCATCACTTGGATTAAGTATAAAATTAGGACAATACAATAAAAATGGATTATAGGTTACCAAATAATACAAATGTAAATAAATTGCATACTGTGGATCTAATTCTTTAAGAAAAACAGCTCAATTACTATTCTATTTTAATTTTTAAATAAGATGGATTAAAGTGATCAAGATTTCACTGTTAAATTTTCTTTAAATAAAATCACAGAATATGTATAATTTCAAAACTTTATATATGAAATGAATTAATTAATTGATTAATTAGTTAGTCAACATATTTTATGGAATTTTCTTATTTTGTAAGCAACAAACCAATTTCATTTGTTTGAGAAGTCAAGACTCTTGGTCTTTTATGTAAGTGTTTACAAATTACAACAGTCAAAGATGTAACTTAGTGGATATCGTCTTCACATCAAATCACATATATTTGAAAGTTTCCTTTTTCACTATATACTGTTTCCTATTTGAATATTGTAAACAATAATGCATGTATATATTTTGAATATTGACACAATAATGCATATAGCATGAGACATTGAGACCATTGGGTGATAAAAGTAGGTCATGTGCCTCCAAATCCCCTTCACATGCACCCTTCTTGTCCCAACTCCAACCCCAAATTACAACCAAATCAATCGCAATGGCGAATTTCGTTTCTATTCTAAAAAATAATAATACTCTCACTTAAACTTGCATGATTGCCCACATGCTTTCGCTTAAACTTATTAATTAGTCCATAATAAGGGGGGAAACAATATAATGATTGTGTTGTTTAGCAATGAGTTGTTTTTTTTAAACTCATTCACTTCACTCAAAATGCCACGTTTCTAGATCAGTTTGGATCTCTCTGAACTCTATTACTATATATGCGTATTTACAAGTTCTTAAAGAAAGTACAACGAACATTACATACATTAAAGTCATGTTATCTATATAGTATACTGTATATACAACTGATCATGTATCTTGTCAGTTCACCATTTTATTAACAGTTATTGCTGTTTTTTGTTGTTGTAAATGCTGAAAATAATGCATTTTTGTTGTTGTGTGCCTTTTTTAAAACAGGTAAGACAGACTGTAACAAGTTTGGTCGTGGGTGTGTCTAATCTGATGCTACAAAACCAGTTTGCATTTATCATATGACATCAATCATATACTATACTACAAAATAAAATAAAAAAGGAAGAAAGTTTCAAAAATGAGGATTGGATATTGAATGAGTCTAACCAAACCGCACCGACTCATCGTAAGCTTATTGCGTCATTAGAGAGGTAGGAACATCGTTTTCCATATAACACCAACTAACCAATTCAAATGCATACATCTTTCTAGATTCAGAATTTAATATTTGAATAAATTCCATTTAGTTGTACAGGAGACTTTGATTTTGCCAACAAGTAAAGTTTTAATGAGATTTGATTCAGCACTACTATGCACGTCCATGTCGCACGTGGTTTTTTAAAACTTGAAAAGTTCCTCTAAAGATTAATTAAACAAAACAATAATCTTACTTACTTGTAGAAAGAAGCACAACCGTAGCCTAATCAAAGAGAGCTATGCTTTGTAGTTGTCTCTAGTCTCTCACAAAATTATTACAATGATGTGTTCGTTTCCAAAGATTATATGACCATTGCATAGTTATGAATTGATGATGTTGTAAACCAATGTTTTACAACTAGAAACCAGAGTAATCAGAGGAGTTGTTATTACCCAAGAAAGTGAACAAGAGGACAAAAACACTGATGGCAATTATGATGTTGAGGAAGTAGTTAGTGGGTAATGGTTTATCTGGACTTCCTCCAATTGCTTCATACTCTGCTCTTATCTTCTTCTTCATCGAATCAGAGAGCTCTTTCTGCCTTCCACATCAAGAACAGTTTCCTTAAAATGTAGTTATCTACACAATAAGCTACAACCACAAAAGTACTGAGGACAAACCTTTTGAGTGGAGTATTTAGCAGCTACGAACTTCTCTCCTTGTGCAGAGCCATTGTCAATGATGATCCCCTGATAAAAGTTCAGTAGTAGCACATTTTAGCAGTTTTAGACTATACATGGTTCATTTAAGTGCACGTTATCTCTCTTTTAATGCATGTATATACCTCAGGAGGATCAAACTTTGCACCAAGATTGCTGAGTTTGGCATGAGCTTCAGCGTAGTCTTTGAAGAATGCAGCTGGATCTTCAGCATATTTCTCTGCATAGTTCTGTAAAAGCAAAAGAGATTATTTAGATATCTTTAAAGTAACAAAGGAATGATTCTGCTGCATCTTTTTAACCTTGAAGGAAGGATCTTCAAATAGAGCTGCGTCAGTGGGTAAAACCAGAAGATCTTCGTCCCTCTTTTCTTTGATATCCTGCATAGGTTATACAAGTCAGTGGTCAAGAAATTGAGATCTTAGAATCATCTTCTTCATTCACAAAACCCATGTTGACTAAGAAAAGACCTTGAAGTAGGAATTGTCAAACTTGAGCCATTTCACTGTCCATGACTGTCCTCCAGGCTCTCCAGGTCCAGCTTTCTGCCATTTTTGATCATTTATTCATAAGTTATCTAACATACTATATATCATTCAACAAAGAAGGGAGCTGGATTTTTTTGTCTGATGTTTATTAGCTAATACCGTGTACTTTGTCTCAGGTTTGCCCCAGCCGCTACGGTCTGGTCTGGATCGACCTAGGGTGTGTGCACCAGACAAAGCAACTATTTCCTGCTTGAAGAAAAACCACCTCAAACTGTCAGAAAATGAGGATAATATCGTTTGACATGAACAACACAAAAGACTAAACTAAACCTTATCAGTTAGTCCCATTCTGTAGAACACATCTCTCAAATGATCAGCTGGTGAAGGTGGTCCAGCATCTAAAACATTGCGTATAAATTTTGAAACTCGTTATTATCATTGGCTTCACATAACAAAAGCTGAAACAAATAAATCTCAACGAAGCCCTGTAACAGACAATGGGGAAAAAAAGATTTTAAGTTAACCAGGGAGTCTTCCTTCTTCTGGACACTGATCAGGCGCTGACGCATCAACTCTCCCATACTTCATCGGTATTTCAGGACCACCAGCCTCCTGAAGTTTTATTACAAAAAGTCATTTAAAAGACCTACATAGATAGTCAGTCTCCTGCTAGACCAAAACCAATATTTACCTCAACAGCAGTGGCACTAGCTAACTGGAACAAGTCGGCGTAAGAGATGTTAGAGTACTTTTCTTTGATTGGTTCAATGAGCTTTAAAGCATTAATAAGACCAGCATTTGCGGCATGCTTAAGCTCAGGCTCGAACCTAAGACTTCCATTAGCTCCACCTCTCTGTGGCCATGCCTCGATGTTCTTGTTATACGTTCCAGCATCGTGCCATCCCAACCTAACCTGCAATGAAAACAGGAAACCACAAAACACACAAACTCAATATCTTACTGTCCTAATATTATCATATACGTAGCAGATCATCAAGATGGATACTTAACGAGAATGGGATGACAAAACTTTGTACGAAGAAGGACTTTGATGTCTTCTTTAGCACTTTTCAGTTGAGCTGCGTCAGATGCAGCAGCACACGTGGGAAGTACAACCGTGTTACAAGAAGCTCTGTACGGATGTTTTCTCTACAAAAAAAAAGCAAATCATATACGAAAACTGTTCATATCCAAAGGTACAGAGTTTCTCGCAAGTTTATGTTTTTACCCGAAGGAGGGATGGGGAATGAGGGAACAGAGAGGAGGAAGCGACGCTCCGGAGAGAAGAGAGAGAATGTGAGGAAGAGAAAGAAACGAGAGGAGGCGAAGAAGAAGAGAACGAGGAGACGGTGGTGGCGGGAGAAAGAGAGATTCTGGTTGGAGAGGAGAGTGAGTGAGATGCAGCGGAGAGAGAAAGAGACATTATTGTCAGGGGACGGTGGCGAAACGGTGGAGGAGAGAAGTAAAGACTTGGGAGATGTGTCGGAAAGTTAGGGGATGCGGTTGCCACTTGGATGTGTTTGGAGTCACTCACTCAAACTATCTTAACTGGATAATCATATCTCTCTCTCACCTTTTAACTTTACTAGTTAACCACCTCACGCGTCTAATTTTACTACTGATTATTTGTTTAATAAAAAAGCTGATTATGATTCTTCTTAATTTAGTATGTATCTAAATTTAGAGAAAAAATATCTTGATTATTGTTTTTTTTTTGGTATGCAAATGAATTTAGAAAAGTGAATTTTCTTTACTTAAACCGTTTTTAATAGTGATTTATTATTTCATTATAAAATTATAAAAATCATTATGATTGATAAACTTTACAACAAATAACTTTATTTGGTTACAAAAAGTTACATTCTATTAAGTTGTTAAAAAAAAGAAGTTACATTCTATTACACTGTATTAAACTATTTTAAAAATTCAATTTGATATTTATAAGATATTATATATTTTTGGTATAGCTTTTTATCAGTCTATATATTAATTAATAATATTTATAAGATATAATAGTTTGTGACAAAAAAAATATATATATATTAATTAATAATATTTATTTTTATATTATACTCCATATAGAATAGTAATTAATTACTAAATCAAATAAAAATTTCAATTTTCCTGTATTTATTAGTACCGTATATTCTCATTCATCATGTAACATTTTATGTTGTAGTGAAATAAATGATTCAAAAGAATTCGGGACAAATTTGACCAAAAAAAAAAAAAAAAAAAAAAAAA